AATGAGAAAGCTGTATGTTTTCTTGCTCTTTGCTTTTGTATAATATCTATGAAACAGAGAATTAAGTTATCAAAGATGTCTTAAATGATGCCTTATTGCTGAAAGACAGTGACATCTCAAGACAGCAGAATATTTTGGGTTTCCCCTCTTTCTCCAACAAAGGATATCAAGTAGAGTCCTAAAGTACCAGCTTAGCTTTAAGCCTATGAATCATGCTATAGGCAGCAGAACAATCACCATTTCCAAGCACCAAGTCCTGACAGCCACCTCCTGAGCAGCAGAGAGCTCACAGGGGTGACGGTGCTCAGGAGATTTGGAGTTTGCCATTTATAACTTGCCACATCTGAAACAGGTGAAACAAGCAGAGACCTGAATTAATGCCTTATTAAGGATTCCCTTTGTATTTGTCCAATTCTGCTTCTCCACCAGAGGAAGGTGAGGCTCCCTGCATCGTCCCTGCCGTGCTGCTGCCTCCAGCTGAACACAGTGTGACAGCAGTGGCACACAGCAGCTGCCCCAGAAGTTCTCTTACTTCTCTGGGCCTGGCAGAGCCTCCTATCAGCAGCTCCCTGCTCGGTGTCATACCTTCCTTTCAAGCCACTCGGGGCTTTTAGAATCTCCAGAGCAGCACTGGCGGCATACAAGGGGGAAATACTAAACCTCCTACTCCTGGATTACTCTTGCAGTTTTTAGGGTACTTTTTTGCCGTCCTGGAGGCAAAAAACTGTTCAGAAGGCCTCTTTTCCCATCCCTTCCCAATTACTAATGAAGTCTTTCTATGGTTGTGAGTGTTTCATAGGGCTTATGAGGAGAAATAAATAAATAAATAAAATCTAGCAAATGCTCCCTTCTTCCACATTCATTTTTTGCCATAGCCATAAGCTCTGAAATTATACAAGGATGGAAAAAGGAATCCAGATATTTACATGGGGGCTTATATATCTACAGCTAAATACCTGAAAGTATAGCCCATGACTATACAGAGTGCAGGCCCAAGAAGTCAGTTGCATGTAAAAAGACTTTAGTTGCTAAATCAGACTCCAAGTGAGGCTTTAAGAGTTTCAAGAATTAGTGCTCAGGTACCTGCCTCCTTTTTTTTCTAGTTACTTTGTTTGCTACCACTTCGCCATGCACACTCCAGCCAAACCAGCCTTGCAGTAACACAGATTCCCCTGTGCAGGAGAGAGGGACCAAGATAACCTGTCCCAGGAGTGGTGTGGAGGAAGCTTGTTGCACCTCTCTGGTGCACTGGCTGGTAAATGTCACTATGGCTCATTTACAGGGCCCACCCCAGTCCCAGCCCTTCCCTTCCTTTCGGATCCTTGCAGGTTGTCCCTCCTGTGGAAAACCATGGAGCACCACAGGTGGCCTCACCAGCAAGGTCAGCAGTGCTGAACCTCTTTCCATCCCAAAGAGCTTCTCTGGCCATACACAAACCTTCACGGAGCTATGCATCTGTGTTTGCTTGCTTTGCTTGTAATACAGCAATGTGATAATATTGCCAAAACAGCAAAAGCTTGTAATGTGACTTTTTGGAAATGGGACATTTCTGGCAATCCAGCAGAATCCTCTGGGGAAAAGTCTCCCATATCTCTGCTTGTATCTAGGGGTGCAGGCACAGACCATATGTGCACATCGTGGGTTCCTGTGCAGGAATAACTGCTGTGTCTCATCACAAGAAAAATCAATTCCCCGTGACTGAGTGGAAAATCCTAGACACAAAATGGAAAGGTACAATCGGTAATTTCCAAATACACACATACCCTCCCATACTGTTTTTTATTTGTTTCTCTATGCTCAATCTTCTGAAGTCTCACTCTAGAAACTGAAATTAATTCAGATGTTTTTATCAAGCTTAAAAAACCCCATTGTTATAAAGAGGAGTTTCACAAAGGTCACAAGGATATCCCGTTCATGGATCAAAGCATCCCTTGGCAAGTATTTGACAGTGGGTAAATAATTTCTGAGCAGAAGACTGGCTGCTAATTTCAACTGTATGAATAGACTCTTGCAGGATCTAGTCCTCCTGGTTTCCTACTGTGAAAACAGAGACTTGATGGAATCCAGGCAGCAATAAAGCTGTTGGTCTGGGACATACCCAGGTAACACTAAGCATATACCTCTCATGAACAAAGCAAAACCCAGGTAAGAGCTATTAGCTGCAGAGAACTGCATCATTTGAATTCCAGTTACACTGGCATTCCTCCTAAGGAGCTGAACCACAGCTTGCAACTTTGATCACATACACTGGCAAGGAGAACGGGTGGGCAGTATTTTTACACAGGACCAAGAAAGCACTGCAGCTTCACAAATACACATATCAAGTGAATATTCTGAAAGGAATTAAATAGATGAAATAGCTTCATTCTTAAGAACAGCTATAAAGTTTTATATGAAGAACACCAAGAACTCCTTATCTTAGTTAAACCTCTCATAATGTTGCAGGACATTTTGCCCAGGCCTGCACACATACTGAAAAAAATTCTCTGCAGAATTTTTATGGTTACAAGCAAGCCAACACCAAACCTCAGTGCTGAAGAGTCAACAAAATGACAACAAAGATGAGAGCTGCATTTTGAAACTTGAGCCTCCTTCCAATTCTGTGCAGAACAAATTCCCAATGCTGAGATTTCAAAAAAGAATAGGGCTCAAAGTGCAAAAAGACATTTGTTTCCAAGTCTGCTATCATAAAGTTTGGAAGGGAGGCAGGATGGGTTCCTGTCAGCTAAACAGGGAGAAGCTCCCTCATGCCCTGCCGGAGGAGTGGGCACAGGGACAGAAATAATTTGTTGATATCAGTATGCTGATTGACTCTATGGTGATGGACATCAGATAAGATTTAGAAACAGATGTCTGCAGAAAGGAGAAAATACAACTCTAGATAGGCAGATTATAATATTTACTACTTAGGCAAATCCAACTCTGTCCCACAAAGAACTTCTACTTAAGTAATATAAGTGAAGGAGGGTTTCTGAATGAATTGAACTACCACACAAGGTCTTTGTGGCTTTCCTGGCAGAATTCCAACCAGGGACTATGCTTTCCATGGCAGTATCCCCACTAGTGCTTGTGAGACAGCCAAGAGGATATTTTGCACTGGACATTTATTCCCTCCTTAAGAACAATGATGAGATTAAAAGGGAACCATTCAAGTGGACATAAAGACTGCACTTCAGCAAGCAAACTTGGGGTGAGGATAACCAAGTTCGAGATTTCTTCCCCACTAGCAAAGACCCTCACACACCACGTGTGAGAATCACACAGCTGATACTTAAGAAGGAAAGATTTCTGGTATAAATCAATACAGTAATAATATTATCACCAAATGTTAGAAGTGGGATTCTCATTAAGTTTCTGCATCAGACCAAGCCTTGAGCTGAGCTTCCACAGGGCTGCTGGCCTTAGACACCAGCACATCCCTTCTGCTCCATTCCTAAATGGAGGATTCAGAATCGTGTCTTGCTCAAGTCAAATGACACCACAATAACCTGTAAGCTGGCTCTTCAACACCAGAAAAAAATAATGTTACCCCACTTAAAACCTTAATGAAGACTTGAAACTGGCTGGGTGACATGTGCATTTACTCCAATTCCAAGGGAGGTACAGCTTAACAGCATGACAAGTCATTCATGTCAGTGAACCAAATAAAAAAGAGTGTGTCTGGGACAAGAACTTCTGAGCTCAGATGCAGCAGGTTTTAGTTCTGATTAGTTACTGGTACACTCTTTTTATGATCCCACACCATTTTTTGCTCTGTTAAGGATAGCTGACAACATTCAGCAAGATACATTTGGCAAATATTACAAAATTTTCTGCAGTACAAAATTTGGTGCTATGATTTCACATCTATTTTCCTTACTGGTTTTCTTGCCTCAGTTCTAGCTCCTTTCATGGCTTCAGATTCTCTCTTTTGGAAACCAGTCTGGTCAGTAATTCTAATCTCACTCATTTCCTAAAAACAACAGCAGAGCAAAACAAGGTCTCTTTCTTAACATTCCAGTGGTGGAGACTGTGGGGAACACAAGGCTTGCAGCAGAGAAGTGCACTGGTACAGAGAGGAATGACCCAGGTGACTCCAGAAGGTCTCAAAGAACAGCTGGGCACTGTTAACTCCCACAGAAATCACACTCAAAGGACAAATCACTCCAGACTTTATGAGTAGCTTGACTCAATCCTAACTAGAATAGATCAAGGACAAGAGGAAAGAAAGATACAGAAAGATCTGTATCTTGCACTTGTTTTTCTTTTTTCCTTAGAACCACACTGCATAATGAACAAAACATGGATGTTTTGGCACAGTTCCTCTCAACAGACAGAAATGGCTGTCAAAAACACAAGACAACATGCTGGGGACTTCACCAGCATGTAGGATCCCCAAATTCAAGATTTCTCTTGCCATATTGCAGAGACCTGGACTGAAAATTTGCTTTATCTCAGACATAGCAGGCACTTGTTTTCCCAAGTGCAAGCAATCTGTCTTCTCCCAATATTTCCTCCTGCACTCCTGGTCCCAGAGATGCTCCAGTAAAGTGATGCATTTTGATTACATTTTCTTCAGACCCAAACAGTCTGACAATCTCTAATCTTAGCATTTTTCTCCTCTCCTTATTCCCTGTGGTCACATCACTTTGAACTGTGCTGTGTGAAAAGTTATTGTCTTGGATACAAAAGCACAGAGAGAATATTTATAATACTTAGGAGACCAGCGAATTTCTTGGTTGCTGGTTACAGAGAATCACTAGATAAAATCCACATGTACAAGCAAAACTAGGGCAAAACCCTTACTTTTAAAGTTAGGAAGAACCTTTTCCCATGGGTGTTAAAATTAACTAACGGTGACTTTTGGATCAGTGAATTCCTTGCAAAGGTATTCCTTGCACGAGGGAGAGTGCCTGACACAGACCCACCAGGTATTTACTACAATTTATAGTTTTATTCAGGAGAAAAAAAAAATCACACTGTGTTTAAAAAGCTGATAAACACACACACACACACACACATGCTTTCAAAAATGATACTATTATCTTGCATCACAACTAAATTTTAAATTTCACATTTATGTGGCCATTTCTCAGGTATTGGTATAACCAAGAAGAAATCATGAAACCACGAACAGACAAATATTAGTAGAGAAATAATATTACATTTGACAAACAGATAAGCATAACAGTTACATTTACTGCAGAAGTGTTTGAATGCAATGTTTCCCATACAGCAAAATCTGAAAACACCTTGCATTCCAAGTACAGCTGTTCTGCTATTAAGTAGGAAATAGACTTTTTAAACTAAAATCCTGTTAGACGTGTAGGGAAAGTTTTGGCAAGACAGATTGTTTTCCATCATTAGATGAAATTTTGAAAGCTGTTTCCTAGTGGAAAATTTCACTGCAAATATTTTGGACACTTTCATGTGACTTGAAAGTCAACTGAGATCCGTACTTGCATCTCTTATGATTACAAGATAAATAACAGATTTCTGAAGATAAAAATAGCTCTCCTTCCCAAGGCAAAACCTGGTTTTCAGAGGGAAAAATGCTAAAATATTTCACAGGAGTAGATGCATCTATTTCTTTTCTTTAAAGAAGTCCTTTATGTAGTTACAGTTACGCAGTGGCTTAATTTAATGTCCAAGCTATAATTTAAATTTAAATTCATCTTCCAGTACATTAAAAAAGGCCAGTGTCCATGTTTGGGTGTCTGGTAGAGGTACAATATCCCCTGAGGACTTATGGTTAGGACCTTATTATCCTTGAATACTTGAGCAGGGCAGCACATTTCTTTCCTTGGACACAAAGTGATGCTTCTGAAAAAGCAGAGGTCACCCAGCACTGCACTGTTTGCAGTGGTTGCAGAGTCCCTCTGCCCCTTCAAAGCTCATCAGCTTCTGCTACCACAGGGATAAGATCCATCTCCCTCTTTATAACCACTGCTTTGAAAAATGAGAAATCAACAGCAAGAGCAGGTAATTGGAATGAAGGGGCTCTATCATTCCCATTAGAAAAAAGCTACCAAACACATAAGCAAAGACAAAACTTGAACACATTGTGTTTGTACAGCCTTGGGATGTGAGGCAAATGAGCTGCTCTGCCAGGGCTGGGAACCTGCACCAGCAAGGGGGGAAGACACAGCTGATTCCTTGCTGGTGTTCAAGGCACACACAGCATTCTTCTCTCAGCAGTGAACTTTACCCATGAAAATCTGCCTCAGGAACTCCTAAGTCAAAAAACAGACTTGGAGCTTTCTATAAAGCAATAGAGAATCTTTGAACACATCAAATGTAGCCCTCAGTCAGTGCAATAAGAATACAGCAATCTTTCCCAGAAATGGACTGAATTTATCAAAGACTTTCCTAGGATCACAAATAAACATATTTTTGTAAGTTCAAAATGGATGTTTCCCATGGAACAACTGCCTTTTCTACCAGTTGTGCCCCATTCTAAAATCAGGGGGGAAAGGTGATAAAACCTAGGCTGATCCAGAGATAACAAAATGGGATTTTTTTTCCCCAGTAATTATTTAATTCCTCTCACATCTTGAAGTATTTTTAATAGCCTTTCCAATACAGGCTTTAAGGGGTTTCTTTCAGATCTCAGGACATGCAGCACTAGCGCTGCACTCTCTGAGCAAAAACTGCACTCAAATTACTGAGATCTCAGCCAGGGACATTTCCTTGGTGTTTTAGGGCATGGGCAGCTCAGTGTCTCCCCTTAGAAGAGAATATCCACATCCAGGGCAATATCAGATGGCTGGAAAACATACAAACTTCTTAAGGCTTTCCAAGCAACCCATCAAAACAGACAACACACAGAGAATGACACACACATGGTTTGCTGGATTCAGCTGTATTGGGCATTCCCAAACTGCACAGCTCATGGGAAATGGGGGATGTTTCAGCTGTGCCCAGGAGAGCAGAGCAGGACACTTCACCCAGGACTTGGCTGAGATGGGGGAGGTGACAAAGAACAGAAACTGGAGATGGTGCCCAGTCTGGTACTGGGGGGTAGATGCCATTTCTCCCATCCTGTGCTGTTTCAAACAGAAGCACTGGGACCCATTTTCAAACCGGACCAAATATCTGGGTCTTTCTTCAACACTAAAACTTCTTCATCTGGAAAAAGAAACAGGGAGAGACGTCACAGTTCTGTCTGACAATCAGACCAAGGAGTGCATCACAGCCCAAACCATCCATCTGTGGAAGGACACCACAAGTTTATTCCAATTTGTATAGACATAGAGAGTCACATGCTGCCAAATCAGTGCTGCAGAGGAGCCCTGTTCGGGGCTACATGAGTCAGGCTGCTGAGAACAGCACAGCAAACCCACCCACTCCCGGCCATGGAACCCATCTGCTCAGATGGGAAGAGATGTTTCTATGACACCACATTCTTCTGGCATGCTGCTCAAGGAATTAACAACAACACAAGGAGTGGGACATTTCTCTGTGGTTTACAAAACAAGGAGGGAAAAAAAACAATCCCAAAGAAATCTATGACTAATATGATACATTCAGAAAAGAAAATCACACAAAATCTCTATCCATTACAAGGTTTATATATATATATCACAATAGTAATCTAGAGCTGCAGCATTCAAAGTAGATCACAGACTCTGGAAAGTCAGCTTTAGTTCCTAGTATCCTGTAGAAATTAAACATTTCTAGCCATACAGAAGCATTACTAATAATCTGCAGCTAACATTCCCTTTTTCTAAGATATTAGCTCAAAATAAAAATTGTATGATATCCAATATTCATCTTTATAACCACTGAGGATTATGAAGGGCTTTGAATTCTGAGACTACTTGGCATCAAAGTCACTTGAAGGAGCTGGGAGGGAAACATCAGAGCAGCTTCTGCCTCCTCTTGCTCCTCCATGTGTGCTTTCCCCAACAGCAGAGCTAATCATCACTGGAAAGCAGATTTTAAAGGAAGTGCTCACACACTGGGGATCCCAACACCAGGTGTGGCCATGGGGGACCCACTGGGAATTCAGTTCAATCTGATATTTATGGCAGCGTTTGTGCTCATGCTAAATTACAATTCAGAGAGTAGAATTACAGTCACAAATCTGGGAGCTTCTTGGGAAGACAATGATGGCACCATTCCCATTTGGTGCTAGACGTGACTTCAGTATTCAGAATTGAAAATGTGTCCAATGAAACAAACAAAACACTGGCTCAAAACCCACCACAAACATACAGATTTGAGTCACTACATCCTAATGCACTAAAAAAACCACAAACACCAACCATAACCATCTAAATACCCAAAACCCAACACAACAATCCACAAAAAGAGAAAGCATGTTGATTAAAGTATGTGCTATTAATTACCCAGAGTGGAACATGATATAAAAAGATTCATCTCAGCCTACTAGGTAACATTACTCATGCCTGCGTGACTATTACAAAAAGCTATTTGTAGATATGAAAGATTTACCTGGAAATCAATGTGATAGTTCCCATAATTCATAGCTATCTTATTGGATTTGGGATGTGAGACAGCTCAGAAGGCAAAAAGAAAAAGACAAAAGAAATCATGTTACTTTGCAGCTCCAGCTGGATGGTAACAGACTTTTTCAAACAGTAAGAGAGAAATGGAGCCTTACATGCACCTTGCAGTGGTTATGAACAGCTGGGCCCAAATAAACTTCTTTATGCAAACAGTCACTTGAATATGTAAATCAGCACTTACACAAACAGATCTCCATGTGCACAAATATTTTCCCATGAAAACTGCTTCTTTCTTAAGCCAAATTTTCTCCCATTCAAACCTATGGCAGAATTTCTTTTGACTTCAGAGGAAGCAAGAATAGAAACCTAACCTCTACAAACACATTCTCAAGTTTGTTTGGGCTTTGTGTTTGAGTTTGTTTTGTTGTTTTCTTTCAAACAGACCTACATAAGGAATGGTTCATCTACTCGAAGATCATTCAGCAGTTGGAATAGATTTATGGGAATTTATTTCTACAAACTTCTCTCAATGTAAGGTCAGAACAGCTTTCACAAGTGCTTATTTCCTGTAGACTGCACTCATACTTACATTGCTGATGCACCCAAAGGCCCAAGGAAGTTTGTCTACAGATTCAGAAAACTGAGAGCCCTTTGCATTTGGGCTTCATTCACATTTTCATTCCAGAGAATACAATGTTATATTTTAACCATAAAAACCATCAGCTATTCTACTTCTATAAAGAATTTCACAGAATTCTGGTGTGTCAAACACACCGAAGACTAAGAAGGTAAAACGTGTCCATTTATCACAGCTACCTTTGCTGAAGCTCTGCATGCCAATACCAATTTGCTTATTCATTTATTTTCTTACAACCCTTCTTTACTTTTCCAATCTATAAACACAGTTTTATCAGTGCCTAAAAAGTACCCAGGAAAAGTGATCCATGAAACACAGAAATGCAGCAGGTTTCCCATGGCTACCCAAGCTATTAAGTGTTAGATCAGGTCTGTAGGCAGTGAAATCATAGCACCATTATCATTGCCTTGTGGGAGCAGTAATTCTGGGTGGTCTGTAACACTACAGCTCCCAGCCCCTGAGATAGTATGACCATGTTGTCAAGTTGAGCCTCTCTAGGAGTGTAACTAGGCTGAGGTTTTTTGACCTCATAGATAAATAGGTTTTGTTGAAAGCTCTTCTATTATTTTTCAGATTAGCTTGGGCTTGCATTTGGCTCATTCTCTGCCATGGGAGTGGGAGAAAGCAAGGCCTTGAGATATCCAGTACATGTTTATCCAGCTGCGGTAGCTTGATTCTCAAAGTATAACTGTCAACATCTCCACTCCCTCATGCAAATCGAAATTTGTAAACAATCCTAATAATTCCTCCTCCCTGTTGTTCATTGTAGTTTTGCATTCCTGACTGAGCAGCCACAGAACTCGAAGCACAGAGAAGCAGCGCGAGTCAATCCAGGCTGACTGCGGTGGAAAAAAAAGCACCAAAACCATGGACTCCCAGAACAGACTGTTCAATGCTAATTTTAAATCTTGAAAAACAGTACCAGTCTGACATCAGTGTGGTATTTTTTCATATTTTCTAAATAATCAAGAGAAACTATGTTGGTTTTGGGGTTTTTTAAACATTTGATTCAGCTTCCATTCCCTTGTGTAAATAGCCATAGAACATTTATCAATTTTTTTAAACTATGTAAACAGAATTGCACTTTGCAGGCATTTTTCTACCACCATAATTCATAAAATCAAATTTCTTTAATTTATCCAGAGTTTGTTTTTCCCAGCTATATTACGCTGGAGCAGAGGGTCAGCAAGCCTCCTTACAAAGAGTATCCCTTCAGACCTCTGTATGGTGAGCAGACTGAACGTTACCATTTTTCCTTTCTTTAAAACCCCCAAAACTTGTAGGGCATGATGAACCATCACTGAAGACATTTCATTCCAGCCACAGTAAAAACCTCTTTCTAGCATTTATTTAGTTTTAGCGAAGACCTGATATTGCAAGTATTTATACACGGGCTTAATGGGGAATAGCTTTAAAGCCTAATGATCTGCCAAGACTAGTCTTGCACATAAACATTTGCAGCACAAGGGATTAATAGCCTCAAAATGAGAGGAAAGAGAGCTCTCTTCAAATATAACTTTTTAAAGATCTTGTTAAGATGTTAAGACAAATACTTCTTTGAGCAGCAAAATAAAATACTATTTCTCATAGATTTTATGTTCCAAATTGAAGTCCTCAGAGGATTCTCTAATGAATACAGTTTTTCCTTCAGAAAAAGTTAAAGTTCTTTCTCCCTTCTCCGCAGCTATTTTCATATCATTTTTAAGAACAACCAAATTTGGTTAGAAGTGGACCCAAAACTCAGATAAGGGGACTGATAATGTAATGTCAAAAATCCTGTCTCTGGCATGATTTCCTTAGAGAAAACCTTATTAATGCCATGGAAGTCTAAAAAAAAAAGCCCCAACAGAACACCTGTATTAGACCTTATCAAATTCACAGTTGTAAAGGAGTAATCTAGTCTGTGTAAATGGAATTAGCAGGTAAAATCCTGAAATTTAGATCCCTATCCTCATTTTCTCCACCTTTTTTTTCTTTCGTCTGACATGTGATGATAAGGCAAGTTTCATTAATTTAACTCTTTCCCCTTTCCCATTATCATATCCTAGAGGTTTCCACATTTTTCTGGAGAAAACACATATTTTGGTTTGTTCATCTGCTAGCAGTCTCCATTGCTTCCTCTAGAGCTCCCGAGGTCCTGAAGCCTCAGGTGGCTCCCTGTAGCTCATTCCTTCACAGACACAAGGACATCTTAGTGCCACAGGCTGTTCTCCATGCTGCTCTTCCCCAGATTTGCCATCTAACTAACACTGCATGGTCTTGACAGTAAATACCATTTTCACAAAGATGCCAGAATTGGCATAAAGGGCTACTGGGGCTCCCACTTCCTCTTTTCCTGGTAAACAGCAAAGGACCTACTGTGCACCAGGCACTGCAACTTGGTCCAGTCTCTGAGAATCTGGAAGCTGAGAAATTAGAACCAAGTCTTCTGGGATCAGAGGTGGGATATTGCCTCCTCCTCCTGGATTCAGTGGGTTGTCCTTCAGCGTTCAGTGACAGTAAGGGTGGAACTTGATATGAAAATAATCACCTCAAGATCCCAGATAAAATCACCCAGGTCTACCTGACTCCATTGAGGACAGCACACATAGCTGGTGCTGCCCCTGGGGCCTGACCCCTTTTGGATTTGCTGAATGTGAAGCCCCATGTAGCAGTTGCTGACAGATTCCATGGAGGAGGAAGGTTACAGCCTTCTCCAGTTCCAGTTCAACCTGAAAACAACCTGAAGCTGATCTGTTTGCTCAGATATGCAATGGGCCACCCATTCTTCCAAACAGTATTTTTATCTCTCATTCTTGTCCTTGAATTCCTTCACTGTTGATATAAATATGAAAAGGAATTTAAATTATTTCTACTGTGTGAAGTTTTCAAATGACTATTTACTATTTACTCTGCTACTCTGCTATCAGGCCAAATTTCCTGGCAGTATTTGTCACTATTAATCTGAAAAAAAACTTGCTCTTGGCTCACCATTTAAGTAATTGTTGTGAGATTTCATCTGATTTCATCAGATGCTCACAAAGTGACGGTGGCTGTACTCTGTAAATGCAGGGTTACACATACAGCTTTAAAAGAGGCATTTACAAAGGGCAGAGACTTGACACACAGATCAAGCACAACACCATTTTCAGACACACTTTGGCAAGATCGGGTTGTGTCTTTATAATTTGTCCCTCACATCTCCTGAGAAGCAATATCTTCAAAGAATTCCATCCAGGCAGCGAGCCGTGACTCCGCTTCCTGACGCTGTGTCAGCCCTCCAAAACCAAGCTGGGCTCTTCTGAGTCATCTCCTGAAAAATCATAGATCTCTGTCAGAGTAGCAGACCTCTGAAAAGATTATTTCTAGGATATTCCCACCAACAGATGTCAATCTGGTGGTGCTTTCCTGCACAGGGAGGGCAGGCAATGTGTCAGTGCATGTAAGGCTCAGGCAGCTGCTCTGAACTGGACCATGCTAGTGAAATACTTCCTGCAAATGCCTTGTTCCCCTCCTCATCCACCTTCCTACCCTTGGGAGGAGTGGATATTGCCCAAATGCTCAGCCCCTGTCTCACCTGACTCACCCGTGTGACTGGCCCCCAGCAGGGTTAATGAAACGAGAGGAGAACAGAAGCAGCCTCATAAATCTTCATGAGCATGAATGTGTGTCCTGGTCTGCATCCCGTTAGTGACTGAGTTTTTAAAATAAGTAAAATATCTCTGTGACACCTGGACACCAGCCAGTCCTCATTTTCTATCCCCAAAAGGCTGATTCCTTCTTCAACCAAATATTCATATATGAAAAACAAAAGAAGGGTGTAGATCTTTTGGGAAACTCATCCAAAATTCCAAAAATTATTATTAGAATCAGTGAATGGTTTGGAAGGGACCATTAAAGGTCATCAAGTCCGAACCTCCTTCAATGAGCAGGAACATCTTCAACAAGTTCAGGCATCTCCGAGCCCTGTCCAGCTTGACCTTAAATGGTTCCAGGGATGGGGCATCCACCCCGTCCCCAGGCAACCTGTTCTGCTGTTCCAGCACCTTCCCCATGAAACATTTGTGCCCTGTAGCTAGGCTGGAGTGACTCTATTTTAGTTTAAAACAATTACTCCTTGTCCACTCACTACAGATCCTCCTAAAGTCTGTTCCCATCTTTCTTATAAGTCCCCTTCAAGTATTGCAAGGTTATAAGGTCTTCCCAGAGTCCTCTCTAAGCCTACATATGAGGCAGGATTTTCTTTTTAAAACGTTTTTATTGTACTTTATTAATGTAGCTACACAAAACTCTAGTTTCTCTTTTGTAAATAAAATCTTGATGGTTGTTTTCTGTATGAAATGAAAAAATTTATTTTCCAGGTTCCTACCAATGTTTTGGATGAAAATTTGGGATTTCTGTGTTACAGGAAAAACCTAATGCAATAATGTCAGTGGTACAGAACTACACCTATTACATTACAGTAGTTTAAATTAAATAATTATTTCTTTCAAGTTCCAAGGTAGGCATGCAGTAACTCTGGAAAAAATTCCTGCGGTTTTAGAAGTTCAAGAATTTTTATGCAAAATAAAATGCAAACATTGTCTTGTTCAGATACACTTGGGAATATATTTATTTATTTTTATTTGTACTAATTTTTATTTTAAATAGCAGTGAATTTTATTGAGTTGTGACAGAACCTGATATGACATTTTAATGCATTCCTTCTAAGAAATAATAGGGTGTTCAATAACAGGCGAGATCTTTTAGATTGAGGTATTCCAAACAATAATTTGTGTTTCTGAAGTTATATTCTCCTGAAGATTATTTATTCTTCTGCAAAGTTTCACTAATGCTCATTCATGAGGGGCGGGGGGAGGAATTCTATTAAGAACAGAACCCTGCAGCTCACGGAACCAGCACTGCTGCAGCTCACGGAACCAGCACTGCTGCAGCTCATGGAACCAGCACTGCTGCAGCTCACGGAACCAGCACTGCTGCAGCTCACTCACAGAACCAGCACTGCTGCAGCTCACAGAACCAGCACTGCTGCAGCTCACTCACAGAACCAGCACTGCTGCAGCTCATGGAACCAGCACTGCTGCAGCTCACTCACAGAACCAGCACTGCTGCAGCTCACGGAACCAGCACTGCTGCAGCTCACAGAACCAGCACTGCTGCAGCTCACAGAACCAGCACTGCTGCAGCTCACAGAACCAGCACTGCTGCAGCAGCTCACAGAACCAGCACTGCTGCAGCTCACAGAACCAGCACTGCTGCAGCTCACGGAACCAGCACTGCTGCAGCTCATGGAACCAGCACTGCTGCAGCTCACAGAACCAGCACTGCTGCAGCTTATGGAACCAGCACTGCTGCAGCCCACTCACAGAACCAGCACTGCTGCAGCTCACTCACAGAACCAGCACTGCTGCAGCCTGCTCACGGAACCAGCACTGCTGCAGCTCACAGAACCAGCACTGCTGCAGCTCACGGAACCAGCACTGCTGCAGCTCACTCACGGAACCAGCACTGCTGCAGCTCACGGAACCAGCACTGCTGCAGCTCACAGAACCAGCACTGCTGCAGCTTATGGAACCAGTGCATCACAGGGCAGCAGGCAAACAGGAACACCTGTTTGCTGAACTAAGCTGCAAGAAAAAGGAGATTTTGTTCATTTTTGTTGCTTAATGTGAAGCTGCCAATGGAACTCAAGTCTGAGCTACTTAGAAAACAGTTCTCTGGGTTTCAAATAATAATTTGCACAGATGAGAGGAGATTCATAGAGAAGAATGGAAAACATTTTGGGTGTCATTACCTTTTTCTCTCCATCATCATTCTGCCTGCACAGAATTGAACAAGGGTACAGTGGCACTGTAGATTTTTATTTTAACCTAGTTCTTGCCAAGAAACTCTACTGCAATGCTCCTGTTATACTAGAAGTACATAAATGCCAAGAAACAAAGAAAAGCTGCATTACTAAGTTTGTCCCTCAAAAAAAGGAATGTTCTCCAAAGTTTTACCCTTATTCCTTCCTTTTACTTTTGGTATAATTTTTGCCTCCCTGCAATGTCTGAGATTTCTTTTTAATCTTTCAATTACTCCCCAATATCCATTGTCCCAACCCTCTACATTTGTCCTGCTTTACATGCAACCCATGTCCTGCAAGCATGTGAGGAGGCCAAATACCAGGCATCTTGGCACAAGCTAATACTTTACACCTATTCACAAAGAGAAAACATTCCTTTTTTCTTAAGGAAGAAGAAAAAATAAAAAGAAGAGGGAGCAGAGCTCCACCAAGTACTCATAGCAAAGAGATGAAGTAATGTTTACACCCACCATTTCTAAAACATGTCTGGTCCTTTAATAACGACGTGTCAAAGCAACCACCAATACAGTAGATCCATTATTTTTCATTGTTATGCATACTGTAGCTACTTCCTTAGCTCCTGTAGCTGTCCCTTTATGATGGCTGCTTCCCATCCGCAGAAGAAGAGGGGTTCCTCAGGAAAGGCCCAGCTGCTGCAGGGTGAGGCTGCACCCAGGCTGCCCCTGCGGCCACAACCACCTTAGAGGTTCTCAAAGTCCTCCCTAGTTTAGTCCCAGACTCAAACCCTCAGAGCTGCAGGAAGAGAGCAGAGCAGTCATCACAGAGCACTGGAGCAGTCTTGGAGAAAGGGTCTCCAACAAGGGAGGGCAGGTGGGCAAGAGTGGCTCTGGGCCAGCTGGGAAGGGGGAATGGCAAACTCAGAGCAGCATTTGCCTCAAGAAAGGCTCAACTGGTAAATGAGGTGGGAGCTGGGACCCTGCCCCAGACTGAGGAGGAGGAGAGCTCTGCCCCTGTCCCTCTGGGCAGCCCTCCAGGAAGGGCAGCACAGAGCAGCTCTGCCAGGCTTCAGCCTGGCACGCAGCAGGGAATTTGTTCTTCCTCTGCCCTACTCTGCCAATAAAGCTACCACAAGCAGTGAGCCAGAGAAAGAGCTTTGTCCCAAAGTGTGAGGGTTTTTACCATCAAAGTACCCTTTCATTGCAGAATTCCTTCTTATGAAAGAATTAATTACCTGCTATCCGGTCATGAGTTTTATTTTAGGGGGCAGCAAGCAAAATGTTATTCCCCAAGATTTAACAAATTCTTTCTGAACATGCACAAAATTCTCATTACCGTCTTAATATTTTCTTCTTAAAATTGGTTACTTTGCACGTATGAACCTGGTTCGGGCCTCCCATGGGCACAGGCAACACAGCTCAGCTCTGGGCATCATAGAAAGCAACCTAAGAGGTGTAAAATTTCTCAGCTGGGAAACCCACAGTAGAAATATTTACCATGTCCCTTTTCAGCTCTGAATTTTCAACCCACTAAATTGACAAAAATTGTAATATCTGATATAGTTTCCTTCTCTTAGATAGTAAGACAGATCAAGCCTCTTGTCTCTAGAATTTACAGCGTAACAAATAATTAGGTGCCTTGTTTTTTATCTTTTAACATCACCAGAACATACACTGCTTACCCTTCTGACAAAAAGCACCATTTGTGAACACAGATCAGTACAATTTATTTCTTTTATGACCAAATCAATACCACATCAGAATAATTCCACTCGCATGTTTCCAGAAGTCCATGCTCCCAAGCAAACACATTCATTCTTGCAGATACTCAGACCAACTGGACAGCAATTTTTTCTCGACAAAGTGGGGTACAAAAATCCTCAACACATACCTGGGAGCAGCAAGGCCTCTGGCCAGGGAGCTCCCAAACGAGCAGCACAGTCCCACAGGCTCTGAGCAGGCAGAGCAGCTCCAGTGGCATCACCTGGGGTCAGCCACAGTCCTGCACTCACCAGACAAGTCTGCAGTGATGAGGCAGGGCCAAGCTCAGGCCAGGAAGCCAAGCCAAGGTCAGGGTCAGCCAGGCACACAGCCAGGTACAGACACACACATAGTCTACCTCAGGCAAGGAACTGAGATTAAGTGAGACTCCTAAAGGCAGAGAGGCCCCAGGAATCCTTCTCACAGGTTTTTTTCACACCAGCCTGAGCCACAGTTACACAGCTGCCCCATATCAGAGCTGGCCTTGATCCCAGCCAAGGGATGGGGAAGAGGCTGCTGACCCTGCCACGCTCAAACCTGAAATGTACCCCTGGAGCCCAGAGTCCTACAGCCCTCCCATCCTTCTCTTCTGTTCCCATCATCACCTCAGCTGTGCTCCTCAAATGAACTCTTCTCCAATTTTTAAGCAGGCTAGCTTTTGCATTTGTATTACATACCAACTGGCTGATTTTTTCAAAGCAATGTGACTGGTACAACAAATATGAACGTGAAAGAGTTTGGGCCACTGACATTCATGTGTTCAGGAGCATCATGGGAAAATATAAATAGGATTATCTACTAGCATTTAAAAAAAATAAAGACAGCATTAATATTTAAATAGGAAAGGCACAGTCTTACTATCAGCCTCACTTAAAGAAAAAAAAACAAAAACAAGCAAACAAACAACAACAAAACCCAGCCCCAAAAACCTACATTTTTTTACACTAGTCCATGTATGTGAAGTTCAGTTGAATTCTCCTGTATAATTGCCATTTGCAAGGGCCTGTGCTCCACAAATACATGTCAGTATCTGAGAAAGCTGCTGATTACATGCTTGATTTTTTATAAATAGCATAACCATACTCTCAAAGATCTTCTAGAAGGAAAGCAATGTGGAGAACAAGCCAGGGTTTAT